ACCCAGGAAAAGCACCAAGGCCACCACAGAATCTCATAGAAAAACTGATCACTGTGTATAGCTGAGCACCTTCCTTTATAAAACCCACAGCATTCCACCTCTGATGAGAGGTGACAGTGTGTACAGACCCCCTCCCCCTTCCACACTGTAACTAACCTCTTGGGGGCAGGACTTGAGAGTCATTACAGCATAGTGGTCAACAACACAGATACAAACCTGAATTCAAATTCTGCTCCATCTCTTGTCATGTTACCTCAGACAAATCACTGCACTTCTCTGAGCCCTAAGTCCATGAAATGGACACAGCACATATTCCATGGGATCCCTGAGGGGATTACACAAGATGACACAACTGAGGGATTTAGCTCTGTGCCTTGCCTGTGTAAGCGATCGAGAGTGACTATTTTCCCCATCTCTGTGTCCCTTACACCTGCTAACAACATCTAGCTAATATTACCTGTTGGTTTGAAGGTTTATGTAGCCGAGACATTGCCCCACCCACAGAAATTCAGAAATAGCAAGAAGTGTAAAAACGCCAAGGAGAAGGGGTCCCCTACCTCTGGAAAATCTCTTGCAGCGTTTCCCGGGTGAAGGCATTGCTGTCCTGGAAGACGTTATTGAGGGCATGCAGGGCACAAAGCTCCCTGCGCTGTTTCTCATGGTAGATTTGTGGGGGTGCTGCCTGGGGCAGCTCCAAAGATTCAGATTTGGCCTTGTCTCCTTTCCATGGCACGCAACTCATGTTTTCGTTTTAGGTTCCAGAGAGGGCTAAAAACACCCCACCCTTCCCTCCAGAGGAAGAATGTAAGCTTCTCAGTCTTTTCAGGATTCCTGAGGTCCACCTTATTTTCTGGTGTCCATGATTTATGCTTTGTCACGGAGGGAAAGGTTGGAATCAAAAGGAAAAACAAAAATCCACCTCCATCAAAAGAAAAGATCACTTTTGGATTAGTGTTATTTCGCCACCACTGTCAAAGTGCAGAATTTTTAAAAAATCATAGAGGATCTAAGACCTTGTTTCCCCTCTCCCACTTTCCCCTTTAAAAAACAAAACAAAACAAAACCCACAATTTTCTTGCCGTATTTTCCTCTCTGCAAATGCCAACCAGGCCTCAATGCAGGAGGACAGAACGGAATTGGTCACATCGCTCCTTTTCTTCCATTTCTTTCAAACCGCAAACGCCACAGACTCAGGAGACAAGGCCTAAGGTGGTGGGTAAAACGCACAATTCGAGCAGCTAGCGAGGGCCGGCCAGCGTGGGATCGCGGGCCGAGCTGGGGCCTCGGGGCCAGCTCTCCATCCCCTCGGGTGCGGTGGGGCCCCGCAGGGCGCGGGCCGAGGCGGGGGCGGCTCCCTCGGAGGCGCGGACTCTCACCCTCTCGCCGCGGCCCTGCGGAGGAGACAACCCGGTCAGCTCCTGCGGTCGAAGCGACCGCCGCGAAGCACCAGGCTGGAGGGGTAAGTGGCGGGGCGGGTCCGGCCCCAGCCCGAGGGAAGGTCCTGCGCAGCGACGGGCAGGCCCGCGAGGGGTGGGGTCGGGCCCACCCGGCTCTCCCCGCCGCCCACACCCCAACCTCCCCGCCCGTCACGTGAGTGCAAGCCGGCACAACCTCCGCGCTGCCCCCACCCGCGCCGCGGGTCGCCCCTCACCGCTGCCGGCCGCCACCTGGCGCTGCGGGCCGCCACCTGGGCGGCGCTCGGGCGGGCGGGCAAGCGCGCGCACCTGAGCCGGACGTCAGCGGCCCTCGCCGGGCGCGTGCTCCGGAAACGCCCTCCTGAGCCGTCCCCGCTCCCGCCCGCCGCAGCGTCACGTATGACGTCAGCCTGTCGTCAGGCGGCGCCGGCTTTAAGGCCACTGCTGCCAGCGGTCGGTTGAATGGGTGTCGGGGGGAGGCGTCCGGGTGTGGAGCGCAGGGGGCTGTGGAGCGCAGCGGCGGTGGCCTCTGGAGCTGGTTCCAGGCTCCTAGGTTCGGTATTTTCCCGGGGCTGGTAGAGCGGGACGGCGCGGCCCGAGGGAGTCTCGACTCGACGCCAGCCGTTCCCCACCCCTCCCCAGGCGGCGGCGCCGTTCCGGGGCGGCGACCGGGCCTGCGGCTGCACTTCGCCGGCTTCCCCTCCCTTTTCCCTCTGTGGGCCGGGCCTCCAGCGGAGTGCTTTCGAGAACCGGACTAGCTACTCCCGCGTTGACCGTTTTATGTTGGTCTAGCGCGCACTTCACCAGGTGATTGCAAAGAACCTTACTGATGCATTCGGGCGTAAATTGCGTTGGTTAGTGGGCTCGGCCGCCTCGCACTTCCCTGGGAGCGCTGAGGGTAAGTGCCTCGCCCGGAATCACATTTCAGGTGGATCGGAGAGTCCTGTTTCAGCGGCGTCAAATTTCAGTGCACTACACACCGACCGCTGCCCTCTTGCCCTCGGGCTTCCACCTGGTCTCGCGGTGGCTGACACAACTTTACTCCCTGGATTTTCTCAAGGTGTTTTGTGTGTCAGGAAGGTGAACACCCAGTTCCGCAAGAGCTTTCTTCCCCTTTACCTACCTCTAGGTCATGTGGAAGGCATTATCTAACCTAGCTGCCCTTCTTTGGGATTTTTGTGCAGAAAATTGAAAAAACAGATTACATAATTCAGGCGTTTCTTTAACAAGACTCCTAACACCATTACACTCACCACAGTTACCACTTTAACACACACTTGAGTGCTTACCGTATGATTGGTAGTCCTGCTCTAATCCAGACAACTTTTGGATTATTTTAAATTATTGTAATTTGTAAACCACCTAAGTGTTGCAGTTATATTTTCATAAGATTAGTTAATGGAGGCTGGAAAGCGCTGTTCATTTATTTACTGCTAACTATGCCGTGAGATCCATGAGATAGCTGTTTCATATATGTATATATATATTTTTTTAATTATTTTTTTAGAGGAGACAACCGAACCTCAGAGTTAACTTGTTTCAGATCACACAGCTAGTAAGTAGTGGACCCAGAATTTGAACCTGAACTCTAACCCGTCTTCAGAAAGGGGATGTAAAAATGGGTGGGGAATTCCCTTCCCAAAATGTAATTTTAGATTTCTCTGTTCAAGAAGCACCTACTCTTGAGAGTTTTTTTCTGGGCAAGCCCTATAGTGAGAAGGACATGTTTTTTAGTCTACCAATAGGTGTCAGCACATTCTGAACTTGAGCTCTTTCTGGAAGAGCCAGCTGGTAAAATGGTAAATACCAACTATTCTAGAGTACTAAGGCATGATATTTGGCTTTTCTGCCAAATCAAGATTTTAATGTTTTTAACTTCCTCCTAGAGGAATATATAGGACAGTGATGAGCAATTTACCAACAAAACGAAAACAAAAACACATTCGAAGAGCTATTATCAAGACCTTTGGAGTTGAGTGACTTTTCATCCCACATTCCCAGCTGTGTTTGTGCACATAAGACTTGATTGTGTTGGGCGCCTGGGTGGCTCAGTGGGTTAAAGCCTCTGCCTTCAGCTCAGGTCATGGTCCCAGGGTCCTAGGATCGAGGCCCGCATCGGGCTCTCTGCTCAGCAGGGAGCCTGCTTCCTCCCCTTTCTCTCTCTGCCTGCCTCTCTGCCTACTTGTGATCTCTCTCTGTCAAATAAATAAATAAAATCTTT